CTTGAGATAATTGAGCAAGCATTAAAAATTGCAAGCACCACCAGGAAGAATCCCGTCCAAACACAAACCCTGCAGCACAGGTGAGCATTGAAGTTAGACAAATCAGTAATGCAGAATGATTCAGGAAATGAGAAAATGCAGAAACAGAATCATAATGTAAAATGCCGTACCAACTAAGCGCAGCCAGAAAGAGCTCTCTACCCAGTGCAGGGGTTCTTTCGCAAATACTGTACAAGTAAGTGTACATTATGACAGTGGGTTCAGCAACACCTAAAATTAACAAAGGTTGGCCACCAAATATTGAGTGGATAATTCCACAAATAGCAGTAGATGCCATTGTTTCCAATATGCCCATACTTCCATCTGTTAAAAAAGACCATCTGGAAGCTCAGTAATAGAAGAATCAACCATGATATGGTATCCACCAAATGACAATATCTATTTGCTCAAAGATTTGAGTGTTCATAGAAAGAGATTGTTTTACCCGTATCCCTATGAAGTTGCTGTCCAAAAACAATAACAGGGAGGGCAGAGGCAAAGAATATGTAGAAAGTTGGAGCCCATGTGCTGATAAAGAAGTATGAATCAAAATTTTGTTGATATACATGACATTATAGTAAAGAAAAAGAAAACCTCAAGTTTGCAACGTGTTCTCAAAAAAGAGAAGAGTTACCTAGGACCAGAACAGATATCACAAATCCAATCTTGTTTATAGCACTGAAATCTTCCCTTGAAATCTTCAATTATTCCCTTAAATGGTGCTTCCATGTTTTTTCACTGCTGATGGAGCAAACTATGCACAACACAGATTAGATATACCAATTGACAACTTTTAGAAAACTGATTGCATTTAAAGATACTACCAAATGTGATGTAATGCGATGAACTTTTTGGCTGGTGAAATCAATTAGCATGCATTTAAATAAGAAGAAAGAAAAGAATGAGACAAAGATAATGGAATCAAAGACACTGAAGAACAGTAAAGAAGGGACGAAATTGACACTTAAAGAAATCGCAGCCAATAGTTGGATACATGTGATGAAAATGCATCGTTTGAGTTACCGCGTGTGTACACCACAAAAAAATTTTAAAATATAGGAAATCTTGGAACCCATTCCTTGTTTTTATGGTAATCTAGGAAATCAAGGACCAGTCAAAGATTACACACAGCATATGAACATCGCATGATCAATGATGATCTGCTAGTACTTGACGGTGGGATAAACAGAATGTATGTTATTTATTATGAACAACTTTACAACATTATGGGTCGGTGGTTGCAAAATTATTTAGAACTAAAATTGAATAAGAAGAACATGTTTGGGAAACTATAAAATCAATATTATTTTAATAATGGATAATGAATTATATGATTGATTATTGTTATAGCAGATTATAATCAGAGTCAATTTTAAACTTATTTTTCAGAAGAGAACTTTTTTACTAAATTTCAGCAAATGTACAAACATTTCAGCTTGTTTTATGTACAACACCAATTGAAACTAAAAAGGTAAACTTTCCAAAACACACTCATAGTGACACGACTTATGCGTAAAATACTTCTCTTTTAGAAAAAGGTCCATCATAAAATTTTGATTGAAGACAAAAAGGTATCTAAAATTGTTTCATGGGAAGATAAACAAATACAGTATGAAATGAAAAACGATTCTTGACCTGAAAATTAGACAGGTAAATATTTACATAAAATCAGGCTTAGGTACAACGTAACGTGAATTTAAACAAGAAGATGAAGATGATGAAAGAGGAGTAATGTAAAAGGGGTGCTCACTGCTCAGAAGACACAGAAATGCAGCAATGTGCAATGAGGAGCTGATAGAAGCTAGGCATCGGCAATGGCATGTATATAAGGCAATTGAGGAGGCCACAGCAAAACCATGACTTCAAGAGAAGAAAAGGAGTTATTAATGCAGGTTAATTAAAATTAGAACGATCATTAATTGAGATAAGTGAGAAAGGGTGAAAAGTGAAACACCTGAAGAATGAAGAGGGTCCACACGGACCTGAAGAAACAAGAGAATTATGTATGGATGGGATGTATTTTGGTTGGTGAAACGGTGCAGTGATGGGACGAGGGAAGAGGGACACCACTGTAGCGAGGGAAGAGGGTCTCAGTCAAATGGCAATGCAAAAATTAGAAACTAAAAACCAGTATTTGTTGGTCCCATGTAATGGAGATCCGATTGAACATCCTAGGATTTCGGAGGGGTCCATGCTGTGGTGCGGTGTGGTTTCACACTCCCCCTTTCTATTTTAAAACATTACTCCTTCAATAGGTTAATTAAGACAAAATATGAGGCTTATTCAGTACACTTCCTTGAAAGTTACCCAACAATGCAACTTTTTTAGTATAGTGTCGTTAACCTCAAATATTTTATGTCGCAATCATAATAAATAAGCCTTATTGGATTCAATAACATGATTTTGTTTAGTTTATAAGGCAAAACGTAAAATGGTTATCGTAACTTCTTTCTTCGTGCTTCGTTTAGGGTAAACCAATCTTCCAACTTTCGCCACATTTCTAGCAAATAACATAGCTTCCGCAACAGCAGTGAATGAGGTGAAATAAACAAAGCAAAAAAGTTATAAAACAAGAAGATAACTTGGAGAAAAATTGGCATGTGATCGTGCAGGGTGTGAGCTGGGAAGAAGAAAGTGCGTGAAAGTGAGGGTGAGAGAAACGACAATGGGCGAAGCGCGTATGGCACTGGCTTTAGGTAATTCATTTGGATTTTAGTGTTTTGGTTGTTGGAATTTGAAACATCCATTACATACATTCCACATTAGTTTGTCCTTGATTAGGTTTCCATTCTTTGAATGCAGAGGGGGCAAATTAGCCCAACTGTCCCATTCCATCAAAAATCCAAAATGGTTTTGGTTTACTTCACTCTCCCACTTTCATCTTCTCTTTATCTCAAAGGATGTTGACAGCAAGACCACCGTTACTTTTTCTACACCGATATTACAACTTTTATTACTATTATTTTAATAATTTTATAATATTTAATTATAAACATACTTAGGTATATGGAGTGATGCCCACATGCAACTCGCATAACAAAATTGGATCTACTATTCACTTGGAAAAAAGATCACGAATTTATTTTATCCTATAGATATCCATTGACTATCGTTTTCAAAGCCGCAAATATTAAAAGAAAATATTTTATATATTTTTAAATAAAATTCAAATTAAATTAAAAAAAATACAAATAATATTTAAAATATATATCCAAATAAAGTTAATGAATAACTAAAAAAATTAAATCATAAATTCAAATTAATACAAATTAGTAATAAAATATATATTCAGGTAATTTTAAAAGTAATTCTTCTACAAATAACATTCTAAGATTTATGTTTGTTTTTTCATATCTTCGTTTTAATCACTTAATTCCTGAAACAAATAACATATAAATAAAGTCATCAATCAATGACAAAGTGATGCTGATAATAAAATTAGATTAAAATATTATAAACGTACTAACATCATTATCAATTATCTCCTCTAATATTGTAATAAGCTTCATGTTATCCACTTTAAATTTTGAAGAACTTGAAAAAGGAAAATAAATTCATTTATCATAGCCAATCATTTGAATTAATATAAATATGTAATTTGAAGTGTTCATTTAATTACCTTGTATGTTACTCTATAGTCAATCTTGAACACACATCAACGTCTCCAAAGTGTTTGGGTGTGATCTATTGCTATGTGAGTAAGAAATCGACCACCAATACTAAAAGAAGACTCAGAAGCAACTATTGAGATATGAATGACTAAAAAATATGTTGCAATTATTTGTAAGATTGGATATTTTAATCCATTAGTCTTCCACCAAATTAAAATGTCAAATTCTTTACTTGAATATGATAGTGTTGGTTCTCCAAGTAATAATCAAGTTCTAACTTATAATTAGATGATTCATTTTTCTTTGCAATATGATGTTTTGCAAAATCTCTCTTTCGAGCATATTTTCTTCATCAATAATTTGGCCTACATTTATGTTCAGATTTTGATAAGAAGAAACTGACTTCTTACTTTTTATGTACATTTCATACTTTCTCACCAAATCCTTAAAAGGAATATTCACCTTTTCAATTTCAAATCAAATTCATTACCATATATTTGAGGGAAAAAATAATTCAACAAATCAATTTTATACCTGAGATAACATAATACCTATAGCCATCACTCCACTGATCACACTCCAATACTACCTGTTAAACTTTAATACCATAGATACAGTCATTTGTTGAATAATAGAATTGGAAGAGTTAAGTCAATCCATTAAAGTCAACTTAATTTCATATACATTTGGAAAGAAAATGTTGACAATTAGATAAAAGGTACCAAAAAACAAGAGTGTCACATCATAAAATATTTCCAACTTTTGACAAATTTCATTTGTTATTTGCCATGTACGCTAGACAAAACTTTATATTGACTCTTTAATTGTGATAAACAATCAAATACATATTTTTATTGTATGACTACTTGAAACATTAAAAATGTAGAATTCCACTTAGTTACGTAATCAACAACTAATTTTAATCAATGACCTAACTTTTATGTACCTTGAGGAAGCTATGGAATTTTATTTTATACAAACAAAAGTTAATATATAAGTAAAATATTTTTTTTTAAAATTTTTTATTAAATTTTATGTATTTAATCTCTCAAATTTGTATACATTTATAAAAGAACATTTTGGTCCCCGTCATTAACAAAGTCTTTATTAAATAATTACGGTTATTAATACTTATCATTCTCTACTAATATTTTTGCTAATACCACCTGTCATTAATTTTAATAGGGATATTTTAGTCAAAAGATATATAAGGGAAGGAACATTAGGCACTGAGTTTTATTAAAAGATAAGTATAAGTTCATTGTGGAGTTTTACGAATAAGCACGAAGGGAATATTTTTTGGACAAATCTAAAACTATTGCATCCAAAATGCACATTCACAACACTCCATCACAATGACATTCTTATCTTACAATTCCAAATTAAAACTACAGCATCCAAAATTCACGTTCTCAACAATTTACACTGTTAGACGTCAAAAAATAAAAACTGCCGTTAATTACCTTTTCACTATTTAACAACAATTACACCATACAAAAAAAAACGGCATTCTTGACATCTTTTCTGTCCTGTTGCCCTTCCAAATCGAAGTTATCCAACTTCAATTCATGGTATTTGAAAAAGGGCAGGACAAGAAGCAAATAACAAGTCAGGAGGAACACATAAACTGCAGAGCTTCCCGTGTACGGCCTAGCAAACTCAATGCCGTGGCAGCAATGTGGTGTCCACTCAACCCCGCTTGGTCAAGCTGTTCATTTGGTGATGCATGTTCAATATATCTGTCAGGTAAGACAATTGGTCGCCACTGGAAAGTTCATCCACAAAAAACATATCACACACTTGTGATCACAAAAAATAAAAATTTACTCATGCCATGCAGACTTGCTATGTCAAAGCTGTGTGTGATTAGAAATGCATAAACATAATATAAAATCAGTGGATCATCTTTAAAACAATATAAAACTAAAATAAACAATTTGCTGCATGAAAGGGACCCCAAGCAATCTCCAATTACACGTACAACACAGTAGAGATATCTTAGTGCTGAAAAGATAAACTTACAACTTCCCACCAAGAAATTCAAACAGGTAGAGAAATTTGTTAATTTTGTATCTTTACGCCAGTTATAAATAGAAGGTGAATAGCACATTCATAATCCAAAATATTCTTAGAACCTAGCAGTATAGCCTTCCCACATACACAGCCTGACCCAATTACCTTAATTCTTCCATCGAGTAGTCCATTAACTGCAATAAACTCGGCAACATGGGAACCAAATCCTCCAATAGATCCTTCCTCGACAGTGATTAGAAAAGAGTGATGTTTACAAAGCTGCCTCAGAAGTTTGATGTCAAGGGGCTTGCAGAACCTTGCATCAGCAACAGTCACCTCAATGCCAAGTTTGGCAAGGAGTGAATGAGCCTTTAGGCAGTTCTGAACCATCGATCCGTATCCCAGGAAAGCAACATCTTTACCCTCAACAAGAATTCTTCCTCTTCCAATCTGTGAATGAATAGATTACAACCACCCCAAATTTAGAGATGGCAGATATATAAAAAAAATATTATGACAAATATTTGGGGAATTTAAGAACGAATGACGCTTCCTTAGGTTTATTAATCAGTTTACCCTATTCGAAGTTTCAGTCTAACTTTCAATGTATCGAGAAAATAGAGTGTCGCCTAATTACCTTGATGGGGATTCCATCGCCTCCAGTGTAGCCTTTCCCAACCAGGGCACCCCTTGGATAGCGAAAGCAGGCTGGTTGGTCATTGATATGAGTAGCAGTAGCTACCATGTGCATGAGTTCAACCTCATCAGATGGTGCCATGACAATCATGTTTGGTAAGCATGACATAAAGGTTATATCAAATGCTCCACATTGGAGGGGACCATCAGAACCTACCAATCCAGCACTTGTAATGACAAAGCGCACTGGAATTCTCTGTTGATCAACATCGTGTATCACCTATATGTGGTACGTAACATGTTAAAAATCATAATTGCTTAAATCGTATTATTATGCAATGAGAACTAACTATATCTTTTCTCGTGCAAGAGTAAGTAGGCACTAGGCAGGCACACTTCCACCCACTCGCATAGAGCCATATTAACATTACACAATGGTGGTATAATGAGACGAGACAATTACTTTTCTTTGTTATATATTTTTGTTAACACGGTCAGAGATCCTCCAGTGTACCAGAATTCCTGAAGGTTCATACTTTTTACAGTACAAACACTTTCAGTTAAGTCCTAATAATTTGACTCCCTAAGCACAACCAGATATGTAGTGCTGTTACCACTTTCATTCACTTCGTAATAACAGCAAATTAATGATGACAATATTACTAATTCCATTAAACTTAATGATCTATACCAACCACAAATAATCTATTCTGAAAGAAATCCAAATGTTCTATGAACAATAAATCAGGGTTGTCGTGGTAGTCTACGGCTTTAAGCTGATATAAAGTTGAACCTGATCATAGGCTCTTTGCAGAAAGGAAGAAGGTATAAGGCAAAATGGCTTCAATCCACCACATGCCAAACCAGAAGCAAAGGTGACTGCATGTTGCTCAGCCATTCCCACATCAAAAATCCTATCTGGAAATTTCTCCTGAAACAGTTCAAGGGATGACTCCATCGCCATTCCAGCATGAACAACCACAATATCTTTGTCTTTCTCTGCTTCTGCAACCAAAGTCTCCACAAAGCAATCACCGTATGTTTGAGGCCGAACAACATTATCTAACGAATCATATTTAAAAGGATCTGAAAAGTAAACATAGTTACTCAATAATAATTATGTGGCCAAATCACATCAATCAAATTTTCAAAATGACGAGAAGGTCAATCCCATAAAGAGCCTAAACTATAATCCCCTGGCATTCAGAAGACATGACTTTGCATCTAAACAATAAATATGTAGTAGAAGCCATAAGAAGCCACTGCTGGCTTCAACTTTTATCAAAATAAGGTCAAAATGCTTGGGAATACTATTGAAAGGGAAAAAGGAAAACATGGAAACACTCAGTGAAAACATCTGAAAAAAATATAAAACTAAATGATTTTGCTGAGATTTTAGTTTTGGTAGAGCTTAATGGTGTCTATTAATCCATATATCAGACTTCAGTAACTGATATGAGGTTCATTAGTTTGTTATTTTTTGTTTACGTAGTATCATATACTTCATAAGCAAGTTATCTTCAAGCTACTGCGTTGAATCTATCTATAAACTAATCAGTATAAAAAGATATTCATTTTATTTTCTTGAAAAGCTAGAGCATTTGAAATAAGAACACAACCACGGGGAAAAAGTACAAAAAGAAAGAACTATAGTGTAATCACATAATGGCTAGATAAGCTATTTTGCTAGAAATAACATGCAATGGAACAATTAACACAATATAATTATCATAGGTTACCAAAAGAAATTCCACCATCTTGTTTCATATCTGTTATATCACTTTTCTGATTGTTTTCATCTCCCTGATTTTCATCAGTTATCACATGTACCAAGACGGGTCCCATTGAATCCAGGGAAGCAACTTCTTGGAGAACGCATATTAGATCCTCAATATTGTGTCCATCCACTGGGCCTATGTAGTACAACCCAAGCTCCTCAAAAAGAGTAGAACCTTGGGGACCTATCATACCACGAGCATATTCATCAACTTTAGCTGCCAACTCATGCATACCAATTCGTTTAGTAACACCCTGTTATAAAGCAGACAAGTTTTCACTCGCTTGAACATGATTTGAAATTGGAGCACAAAGCATTGAGATGCGAAAATGAGATCTAAATGAAGGATCATCATTAAACCCTATTAGGTATATCATTTGTTATTCTACATACAAAAAAATATATATATAGATAAAGATGCACATCAAACCACATATTTGGGGGAGTGGAAAGCATATTTGTACATTTATTTATCTTTCTTAATGCACATGGAGGAAAATCTTAGTTGTTACACTATTTTCCACAGGCCCCATATTGTACATAATAGCATTGCTCTTAATGTACAAACTCAATCCATTTTATACTAAAGTTATGAGTTATTTACCGTTGAAACATGCTTCCTTTAGTAGGCTCGTTTCAAGTTGAATGACATGGCACTATCACATGAACATTGCATGCCAACAGCATATACTGAAGACTACTGATTTGAAGCTATCTAGTATTCTTTTCTTGCAGAGGATGAAGAAAAGAGGCATACCTTGGCAGCTTCTCTAAATCTTCGGAAAGATTTACTGGACTGGAGCTTGCTCAGGGTACTAGATAGGGCATTGACAGATGTCTTTGGACGCTCCTCGATTTTTGGAAGTAAAGAGTGACGACTATCATTCAAAATCACAACCATGTTTGAGTCTAAGTATCCTGCATTGCTCATTGCCTCATATGCCTGACCAGCCATAGTTGTCCAATTGCTGATAACTGCAACTACTCGTTCTTGCCTGCCCTTAATATCCCGGGCAACTGCCATACCTGATAAAATAATACACATATGACTTTGAGGTCAATTAAATTTCACATTTCGAAATTTTATTTATTCATTTAAAATGGAAAATGCAGAAAAAGTACAATTTAGCAACCAACAAATTTACTCGGACCAGTCAATGACAATAAAAGCATATAAACAGAGTTTGAATAGTGTTTGAAGAAACAAATATTATTAAAAAGGGAAAGGTCTTTACAAACTACCAAGTCCAGCAGAAATACTGTTGCATCCATGACCTGCACCAAATGCATCATATTCACTCTCAAATCGGGAAGTAAAACCAGAAAGACCGTTCTTTCTTTTCACTGTTGTCATGAGAGATCGCCTTCCTGTAAGAATCTTATGTGCATATGTCTGCACACAAATAATGAAATGGTTACATTATCCAAACCAGGTCATTCATTGAATTCTTATAAATTGGAATATTCATTGTTCTGTGTCAAAATGAGTTCCTAGGAAACAATGATTAACAATTTGCAATTGGCATTCAATTTTCATGCCCAAAATGAGCGAAGAAAATTTAAAACGAGAGGGACACTTTCTTTTTGCATGTAATTTAAAACTCTTACTTGATCCCCAACATCCCACAATATTTTGTCCACTGGAGCATTGAAAACATAATGTATTGCAACTGTCAGTTCCACCACTGCCATACTTGCTTTCGCTGATATTTGTGTACGTGACATAATAGAAGACAAATCTGAACGAATTTCAACTGCTAGTTGTTTCAGTTCCTGCAAAGACAAATATTTAGGTAATGAGATACTTCAAGATTGTGAGAAGAAATAATGTAAAAGCAAAATGAAAATGATAATGAGCTTACAGTTAACCTTAATAGATAAGTTCTTCAAGCAAAGAGGGTTTTCAACCATATCAAGAATGGGTGTTGGAACTTTCTCCCAGTAGTAATCATCATTATCAAGCTGTGCACATACTCGATCAACTAATCCCTGCATCCACAACCCCATTAGATTCTACCCACTCTTTCAGTAACTAAATACATGTAAATATTTGCTGTAATATTGTTCGACTGGGAAGGTAAATAATTTTGTACAAGTTAAGATTTGATGCCTCATTATTTCAAAATGGACTCAGTTCTAATATAACAGGATCATCAAAATCTAAGATGAAATGACATAAAAAGCATGCGGAAGACATCATTGTTCAACCAAAGGGTTATCAAATTGAAATTCACATCATAAATTGCCAGGTTAATTTTTTATTCATGAATCATAATTTGTATTGAATCAAAAGATTCAGAAACATGAAAAAATAACTTCAAATATATCATATAGTTTTCAAAGAAATCATTTGAAACTAGAAATAGATGAAACAGTTTTAACTGTAAGTGTTATCAAACCGGTTTATTAGATCTGGATTTGTGGAAACGATGCAATGAAATAGCCAAATAGAGTACATGCACTGAATGAATGGTTGACAATTGACAAATAAAGTAGCAGAATAATCAAATAGGATGAGCTCTGTAGTGTTCCTTCAACTCCTTCTCATTTAACAATTTAAGTTTATATGACTTCTTAATTTCTCACGGGAACTGGTGAAAGAAAAGTAAGAAAAAAAAAATAAGGATCACTGAATCATGTGATTCATACTAATGATCATTGCATCATCATTTATGTATTGAATAATACAAAGTCTTTTGAGATTCATTTCGTGATATGAATCATATAAAATCATTTGGTTCAAATCGTGAATCATAAGATTCTAAAAACTATGACAAATAGAATAGTCCTTTTGGTCGTCTGTCACCTCAATGATGATACATTTAGTGCAATAGCCAATTTGCAGTTGGTGACTCCTACCTACTGATTATCCAGCCACTTAATTCCATGCCAAATTAAATTGTCCATGTGATCCCAATTTCCCAGTTATGAGAACTAAAAGACCATTGAGTCGTATCATAAAACATAATTCATATACTTACATTAGCGAAATAAAACTTTAAATTGAAGATTGCTTGGGCTAATTAATTAAAAGTTTTTTTTCTCTCCTTCAAATTCCTCAATTTTCAGAAGGGAGATAAACTAAGTGAAAGGAGATTTTAGCCCCCTCCATTCCTCTCTGCTTCCCTCCTCTTCATGCTGTTATTGTCACTCCAAATGCCATCAAACACATAATTACCTCAATGTCTTTTATGTTAAACACCATATCAAGTCACCCAAACTATCCCATTTGCACAAAGATTGCTTTTATAGAACTAGAAATCATACAAACTATCTATTTCCCATAGTTAAACACTTTTGTATAAAAGACATAAATCAACAGTGCTAACTTTATTCTGCATAGATTCTCTTTCTCTATTTTCCGTAGCATCTCTATTCCCTCCGGAAACCAGATTTGATTAATCAACGTAATAATTCACCATGTTAGAAGAGTTAACAAAGACAACTAACTAGACAAATCCTAGTACTCTCACATAAGCACGGACTTAAATTCAGGTGAATTGTGTCTTCTGCAATTCATGAAACGAGACAATTGTTAATGAGATAGATACCTTCGAAGTAGAACGAGGGGACACAGAAATTGTAGAGAGTTCCACGTGGAGGGGGAACAGGGAGGTTGAGCAATCCACTCTTTTACCCAGAGAGTGGAAAGGAACTCCGAAAGGGTATGTAGAAGAAGGAGTAGCAGCCATGGAGAAAGTAGCAACCAGAATGTTGTTACTATGAAATCTTCAAAATTCACAGTTCAAGGAGAACCATGATTATTGAACCCAAAGCTATTCGCTATTTCGCACGTACAATGATGAATCCAAAATATCAAAAAAAGACAAATAAAATCAAATTTGATATGATGTGATAATTGAAAATGGTAGAAAATGAAGGCAACACAAGATAGCGATTAACCCCTGACGAAAAGGGCCCCGTTTTCCATGGCTCACAAAACTTGGAACCATCACAAATTATAATATAACTATTGGTTTAATTTCTCCAACCACGCTTTAATATCTACTTTACATTATAAAACTAAATAAATCTTTAATTTTATTTTTTATTTTTCATTAAATTTAATGTAAAAAATAGAGAAATTTATTTTTATTTCAATGTTTATCATTTATTTACCTGTCTTAAATGACGACTTGTCTTTCAGATAATAGTTTACAGTTAAGTAAGACCGACATTTATATTCTTTTTATCTCATTAAATGTTTATATTTATTTTCTATCTTCAATACTTTTCCCAATTTGGTGCCCTGTAAAAATTTTACTTCTATTTTGTTCTTGATGTGTTTGTATTGTTTATAAATATTTTTAAGCGTTAAAATTTAACACATTATTTTTTTTAAATATATTTTGGAAAAATGTATAATATGATGCAAAAAATAACTTAAGAAAATACTACTTTTATTGAATGAGTAAATGAAAGAAATAGAGAATGCATATCCTAACTGGTTACGTTACATTGATGGTAATTGATAAATAGACGTAACAATCATATCATCCATCAAAATTAAACGATATTTAACATCAATAAATGAAATTTTTTAATAAATACTTAAATTTATAAGGTAATTAATTAAAGTATTGTCACTTTTAATTCTTAAAATTATGATAATTATTTTTATTGTGTTTAGAAAAAAAATGAAAAAAATAATAAGAATAACTATTCAATGGGTAGATGATAAATAAGACTTGGACTTCCAAATCTCCTGCAAAATTTGGCAGATTAGATAACAGTTTTTAATTCACTGTTTCATTTTAATTCACTCTGTAAAATTGATAAATTAACCGGCAATCCATATTTTTAAAAGAAATAATTTAAAATATTAACTTTTTTTGTATATTTATATTATCTAAAAATATAAATATACGATAAAAATGTAATTTAAATTATTTAGACTTATAAATTAAGTTTCATTATTTAATTATAATAAAATAATTTAACAATAATAATTATTTTAATTTATTTAATTATAAATATTAATTTACAGTGTACTAAAATACGAAAACAATATTTAAAATTTAAAAAAATTACAGTGTATCTATTTAATTTATTTAATTAAAAATAATGTATTTAAAATATTTGCAGTTTACTAAAAATGTGAAAACAATATTTAAAATTAAAAAAAGAATTGGTTAGCCAACTCACTAACCTATCTTTTGACAAATAGATTAATATCTTTAATCCGTCTTCCTATAAACCAATTCGTGTGGTGGATCACCAATAAGATAAACTAACTCATTTTATTACAATGAAAAAGAGATAAAAATTGATAACTAATATAAGATTGTGTTGAAGATGGTTCTTTTATTGTTATAGAAAATGTGAAATAGGTACAAAAATATGCCATGCATCACCAAATAAATAATCAATCCCCCTGTTAAAAATTCCACTCCATTGATATTTTGATAACTGTCATTACAAGCAAACACCATACAAAAACAACATAACTATATAAATAGTGATGTGAAAATGAGTTGTAATCCGTAAGCTAACTTGATCTACTACGAGTTTAACCTGGATTGAATTTGAAAAAAATATAATTTTTTTATGTGGTTTAGTTTTCAATCCGGCTCACTAAGAACTCGGTTTCACACGGTTGAACCCGTGGTGAGTCGGATTGGCTCACCAACCTACCTAATTTAATTAAATTATTTATTATTTTGCATTTCAATATTATTAGTTAGTATTTTTTTTATTATATTGTAGATGGTGATAAAAAGATGTTTCAAGAGAGAAAAATATTATAGATTTATTTATTCAAGACTCTAATATTCGTCTTTTGTATATGTTTTTGGATTATGCTTGATTTTATGATACTTTTTTTTTAATTGTCTTTGGAGTTTAATATCATTTAGTGTGAAATTTATTTAAATTTGAATGATTTTTTTTTTACTTTAAAAAAAACTGATAATTAAATGAGTCAGTGGATTAACCCGTTTAACCCACCAATCCGTGGTGGGTTGGACTGGGTTCAAATTTTTTCAACTCGCTAATAAGTGAGCTGGATTAAGTTGGCTCCCTAAGTGACCAATCTATGATGGACCTCGTCGGATCGAGCCGGATTACTCGTTTTGACAGCTTTATATATAAAGAAAAAAATATATAGAAAAGTCATTTCAATTTTGCATCCGTTCTAGCATTATTTGCAACCAAGAATAACACCTATATTATATATACTTAACATGTAAGTTTAATCATTACAGGAAAAGTAGTTAAAAATGATAAATACGAGCAGGTGGGCAAATTTTGATTTTAATATTTAATTGAAAGCATTTTTCTTATAAATTTAATATATCATCGAATTACAAATCATCTTGTATAAAAGAATTAACAATCTTACAGAACGGATATTCTAAATGGGGATGGAGAGAGTATAAAAATGTAAGAGTAACGTAATATCAGTTGTATAGCAAATTTACCACCTTTTAATTAGCATTTAATACCATCCGTTAATGGTCATAAATAATATCAGTTACTCATCTTCCTCACCGATTACAGTATTTAAGATATCATGATCAGTATTGTTGTTGCTCCATATTCATTTCCCTCAACCTCGTATCTCTCCTAAGTGAAGAAGCCATCAGGTACCTCGTCTCATGTCTCTGCTTCCAATTTTATTTTTCATCTATTATTTCTTTCAAAAGTTTATATTAAAGTAGTAAAAGAAAGTGACATTTGTCCACTGGTATATGATATAATTTGATTTTATCTATATAATTGATGCTAGATTTTTAACCTACTTTTTCACCAAAGAATTTTGAGTGTATTAATCAAGAAAGTCAATAATGAGTAATACAATAGACACAAATTCTATAAATTCTTTTAACTTAGGAAGATAATATATTTAAATTTGGGGTTTGCTAACGCCGCTGTGTATCGAATTTTAGTAGACAAAAATACGCTTATATAACATGAATTCTAAGTTTTAAGGTTAAGGTATTTTAATAATTTTCATTCTCAAAACTACAAAAAGAAACCCTCAAACCCTTGTTCACCTCCCTCATTCCTCTCAATCCTTTCTCTTTTATTTTTCTCACTCCAACATTTTCTCTGTCATACCACTTGAAACACTGGTTGTTAAACAATCTTACAAAAAATGATTTTATAATGAGTTTTCATTTTATAATTTTTGTCGTATATAATTTTATTTAATTTTCACAAGCATAATGACATCCGAAGGAATTGGTAATTGGTCTGGAGAGTTTTTTTTAGAGATGATGATTCAACATATGCAGATAGATGAAATTAGAAATGTTAGTGAAGATGGTGAAATTGAAGAGATCTTAAATGAACCTTCGTCTGAAGGTGAATATGTGAATGACTCAACCCTTTACAAAGACAAATTGTTTAACGTGTTTCTGATTTTTTTCAATAGGAGTTACAGTAAGGATGATAAAGAAAAGATTGGAGTGTGAGAGATGAAAGAAAAATGATTAAGAGGAATGAGAGAGGTTAGCAAGAGTTTGAGTTTTTTTTTAGTTTTGAGAATGAAAATTATTTTTTTTAGTTAATTTTATCTTTAAAAACACACACGTGTGTGTGTATATATATATATATATATATTTCGTAGCTTAAGATGTGAATGTAAAGGCTGGAAAACTGCAAATGGTAGCTTAAGATGTAAGGACATAACAAATAGTTGAGCGAGAATGAAATTAAAGAAGGCAGTTATATGTGAAGGACGTACATACAGTCAAACCACCTTTTTCATTTTCTTTGGGGGCTTCATACAGGATCGACATGTTTCTCATAATAACAAATTTGAGGATATATTAGAAAATAATATTTTATTGGAAAATGAAAACCTAAGTTAATTTGAAATTTATTATTGAGTAAAATTAGAATAATTGTGTGAAGATAATTGAAACTCTTTGTAATTATTTCAACTCCTTCTTCTTCCAGAAATAAAAAAGCAGTATGGACACTTTTATTTGGCTAAGAAAAAAATGAACCTTTATTTTCTATAAAAAAGCATTTATTTATGATAGGTAATACAATTAATGTGGAATCCACTGTCTTCTCAAATTCACACTGAACATTAAATTTCCAAATGTGTTCCCAGTGTGAGCAAATATATAAGGAAAATGACACTAACACTCTTTTCATTGTTGGAATTTATTAAAAATATTCTCTTTTAAAATATAATTACGAAATGTACCTTTTACAAAAAATAAAAAATAAATAAATGAACTTAATTAGTCTTCTTAAAAAATCATATCAGTCATAACGTAATTTTAATAAACGTGTATTGTTTTTATTTTTGTGAATATAAACACTCATTTTGAATTTTTTAAAAGATTTAAATTATCTTCATTTTAACAAACTAAGGTTATAATACTATGAATTAAGAGATTAATTAAGTTTCCATCTTTCTCATAATAATATTAAGAAAATAAGATTTAAGTGTAACTATAATTTTATTTTATCTTTAATGGACATGGATTCTTTAGAACACTGTTCATAAGTAAGAGAAACTTGATATTGAATAACACCAAAAAAACAGTACCTTACTAAAATAAATTTTAAAGGATTCTGAAATTCTATGGAAACTCAAAATCAAAAACAAAAAAATAAGAAAAAAAATACAGCTATATATTTTAATGATCATAAGGGATAATGAAAGTAGTAAATGCTTGACGTTATGCCGACCAATGACCACAGTTATGTATGCTGACTTTGTAGCCCTAATCATAATTTATTAGTACAAATGTGTTCAACAACTTGGCCTAAAATTTTCGAGATTCCTTAATTTATTTTATGCAGCTTCGATGTCTTCCACTTCCTCCCTTCGCCTGATCCTCTGCACTCTCTTCCTCTCCTCACTCTTCCTCCGCCACTCTCTCGCCGACGTCGGCACGGCTGCACGTTATGGCCCTCCCTTTTTGCGTAAGTATATATATGCATAACACAAATGTTACTTCAGATTAATCTTTCATAGGAAAAACTTTGATGATATGTACATGGTGCCAAAATAACACGTGTTAATATTTGAATCGTGTAACTGTTTATGGTGACACGTGCAGCCACTGCATGCTACGGCAGAGACGCGTCACAGTTTCCGTCGAATAACTTCTTCGGTGCCGTCGGGGAGGGTTTATGGGACAATGGAGCAGCATGTGGAAGGCAGTATCAGGTGCGGTGCATCAGCGCTGCGGCTCGCGGAACTTGCATTCCTGGCCAGATGATTCAGATCAAGATCGTTGATCGAGCGCAATCATCGGTTTCTAGGCCTTCTTTAGCTGGAACTACGTTGGTCCTCTCCTCCAAGGCCTTTCAGGTCATCGCCAACGCTTCTGCACCGTTCATTAACGTAGAATACCAACAGTGAGTTCTCTTTTACCTTTTCATCGTTAGTATTATAGTTTATTCTTAATTACGTTTCGTGTTGGATTCTATCAAGATTAGGTTGAAAAATCAAACGTTGAGCGCTTCTGTTATGACTTTCCTTACCTGCAACAAGATTAATAATTATGATTCTAGAATCTTTGGTGAATGGATGATGAGCGTTTGTTGGTTTGATCGATTTAGAGTGAAATAATCTCAACTGAAGATTCGTAATTTGTCCATTTTTGCAGGGTTTGAAAACGGGAACAGATTCTTTGTTGGCATATTTGTTACTCTGAAAATTATTCTCTGTAATGATTGAGTAATATGCAGATGAAGTTGCATTCATATTTTAATAATGGTCACTATCTGATGAGATCTGCGTGTTCTTTTGTTCCTAACCTGGTCATTCAGGCCGGTCCAGGTTAATACTTTCTCTCAATTTATTTATCGAAAACTCTAACTCTCAAGGATTTTTAACTTTTGTTCAAGGGCCATTTTTCAAAATGTAATAATATTAATTACTCTTTCCTTTTTTAATATACTTTTTAGTTATTGTAATGTAAAAATAAACAAGTATAAACTAGAAAACTTTGTGAATACTATATTTAAATTAGGTGAATTTATTATTTTTTTCTTAATTTAAAAAAATTTAAATACAACTTTAAAAGTCGGAAAAGATACAAAATTAAATGTAATCCAGGTAAAAAGAAAGTTTTTTCCTATGAAAAAAAGAGTGAAACTACATCGAATCATTAATGAATTTAAATATTTCTAATTAAATATTTATTAAATTATTTTTATTTATATAATAATGAAAACTTTTACATTTTTTATTAAAATTTAATTTTAATATTGACAGAACAATGTGACAGATATTTGAGGTTAGTTTATTTGTTTCCCTTTTTTAAAAAGTATAAAAATTAATTAAAAATATTTAAATTTATTATAATAAAAAAATTTAATTAAATAAATAATTAATTATGTTATCTAAGTATCATTTTTACCTCTTTTGTTACTGACGTTTTAAATTCAGAAGCTACGGAGTTATATATATATATATATATATATATATATATATTATTGTTTAGCGCAGCTTAAAAGGAAAAGAATTTTGGAAAGGAAACCAAAAGGCTACGTCAGACATTAGCGCCAATTTAACAAGGCACCTACAACAGTAAAATTAAATTTTCAAATAATAATAAGGAGATAGAATATGAAGAGGTCTATTCATTCGTATAGTTTTTATGTTATTAGATAAATAAAATAATATTATTTTAATACACTTAAATGCTTACTCTAGTAAATTTTTGTTTTGTATCCAATTTAAAAAATGAAGATATTAAATCTTTATATTATAAATAAAAATTACATGAATAAGATTTTGTTCGTTAAATTAATATTATTAATTTTATGTTGATTATTGGATAAAATTGCTGACATAATTACGAAAATTAGGATCTATAAAAAGAAAATAAAATAAACCCAGAATATTTATAGGAAAAGAAAAAAAAATAAATAAAACTAAAAAAAAGAATAAAAAAAAATAATTCTGATAATATATTTTAAAATGAAGAAAGTGCTCTGTTTATAATTTTCATGAACAAGACTCATAATATAAAAATCTCTTAGAAAAATATTTTTTTAATAAATATTAACGTTGTAAAACGTAGACAACAAGTCAATTTGGAAATATCTTCAAAAACAACCGTTAAAAAGCAAACTTACGATCCAAGTTCGAGAGAAAGCTTCCGCTTTTGATGGCACAGCTTTTACAATATTATATTAAAATAATAAACGTACTTTTTCTCTTCTCTGTCCAGCATTTTTTCTTTAATATTCAGTTTTTTCTCTCTCTTCGAATTTCTTAGGGGAAAAAATAACTCACAGGGAATTGCAAAATTCTTTTTGGAACAACCACCGAACTAGGATACTATAAAAAAAATTCAAGAACTGAAAATAATATTTTCCTCATTCAAGAACTGAAAAAAATAACTCATAGGGAAATCATATTTTTCTCATTCAAGAACTACTTCCCTGCTGTAAAAAAATGCATTAAACTGCAAATAAAAATCCTCATCGTCAGCCTCATTCCAGTTAGAAAAATTAGTTGGTAGTTATAGACTATTAAAGTTGTCGTTAATCTTTAAATAACATACAATCAAATGTTATTAATTCTTTCTCATAAATTATAAAAATTGAATACGTATATAGACATTAGTTGGGACCATGAACAAGTGGTGTCCTAAACCACAAAATAATTTCTCCCTCGGCATGCACAAAAGACATTGAGTCATCAGCAACTTAATACTGCATCAATAAAACTATGATGAACCTTTTGGCAGAGTTCCTAAATGACAAGTCAGACAAAATCAACCTCTGCACTTTAGCCGTAATCTAATTCTAGTGTTATGCCTCAAATTAATTTGGCTTTCACACACTCGCAAGCTCCATTGTAGACAATAAACACAGGAAGTCAATGTTAAAGGAATAGTAAAAAGAGAGAAACGTTGAGAAAGAGAGGAACGTTGAGAAGGTTACGAGATAATGAACGAGAAATTGCCAGCCTTTGAAATTTGGGGTTTTTGCATGAAACTAGACATATTTGGCTTCAATATTATCAAAGTGGACAAATTCAACCGAAATTACGAGAATGGAGAAGTCGTGGGGGTCCAAACGACTTCAATTTAAGAAGTCGTGCCCCCCTGCACGACTTCACACTGTTCATTAGTGTGAAGTCGAGGGGACACGACTTCTTCAATTGAAGTCGTTTGGGCCTCCCACGACTTCACTTTGGGTCAAAATTTGTCCATTTTGGTAATATTGAAGGCATATTTGCCTAGTTTGGTGCAAAAATCGAAATTTAGGGTAAAAGAGAAGAACATATTATTAGAGTGGTTGACCAATAGCTTCAGTTTCTCCTTTTAATTAATGTTCAGAAGAATAGAACAAAAGAGAGAAAAAGATGATAGAAAGAGCATAAAGATGATAGGAATAGCAGAGAGAAAAAAAAATGTGTAGCCGTGTAAGTGTCAAGTTAACATTCCTTGTCAACTTTATTCATACAATTTTCGTAATATAAGAATTTAATGTTTTCATTTTTAAGCTTATTTTAATAATAAATGGAAGTTGCTTGTATTTTTTTCTGCATCTTTTATATAAAAAAGGCCGGACAATAAATATTTTTAAAATTTATTCATTTTAATAATGTTGCTGAAGAATGGTATCATAATGCTAATTTTTCCTTATTACAATTTCATATCAAATCACATTATAATTTTTTAAAGAATTATCTTTCCCTATCTATTAAAGAATACTGCGCAGGTCCTTTGATACCAAGCAGTTCTAATAATTGAAATAGACAGAATCTACACAGAAAAACACATATCAACGATCCCATTATGTCCTAATTAAACTTAAATTCATCAGTGGCTTCTAAACCACGTACATAACCTAAATCATCCTCCTCTCCCCAGTAACCAGGAGTTGTAACATATTTTTCTATCTTCAAACATGTGGATAAAAGATTAAAAATCTAAGAAAAAAGATAAAAGAAAGGATATTTCTTTTCTTTTATAGATATTAACATTGATAAAAAATGATTTCTACTTTATTATTTTCTATTTATATTAAAACTTTTTAATAGTAAAATAATTAAAAGTATCTTATAAATGTTCTATCTTATTTAAAAATATTTTTGAACAGAACTTAGAGTTTTATGACGTAACTAATAATGAATGATAGTTTTATATGAGATGTTATTAATTATTTGGTAATTTTGTTAGAGTGACTTATATAATTATAATTGTTTTAGAGGTTACTTTGTAAGGTAAAATGACCAAGTAAATCCTTATAGGGGGAAATGGACTTAATTTTGTACTTAGCAAATGAATATTTATTTTGGATACCGAGTGTGAAAAATATATTATGTTGAACTATTTTATCATTAAAATATACTTTTAAGTAATTTAAATCATAAATTAATTTTTGAAAATAATCTTGAAGAGACTAAGAGAGACCATAGACGTCGTGATCAGAAGCTTGAAGAGAAAAGCGTTCATCTCAATCTTCAATTTTTTTTTCTTCTTCTTCCCTTTCGTATCAGAGCCTTGAACGATGTCGTTTGGATCCTCTCTCTTGTCGCATCCGCATTCCGTTAGATTCTTGTTCAACAACACCGGAAACTCTCGCTTCAAAGCCGCTGCCGAAGTTCCCGATTCCCTCTCTGAGGATTGGTACCTATTCTTCCTTCAATATATTCATCCAATTCCATTTTATTCTCCAATATTCCGATTCCAACACCGCCTGCAGGTTCAAATCTCGCAAGAAAAGGCCCTTTGGTCCACGATTAGATGTAATAATCACTGTCCACCACTTCCCCGCTTTTCTTTCCTTTTTCGTTGTTCCTTTTCTGTTAAATCAATGTTTGGTATAGTTTAGTGCAGAAGATGCGGTGCATTACCAGCTCGAAGCCTTGAAGTATAACGATCAACCTCGTCAAGACTATGGAATCGAGGTTATGTACAGGTTCGCCGGATTTGATCCTTTTGAAAGGTCTACCTATTTTGGGCCTTTCTTTGATTTGGGCCAGGTTCGTTCATTCGTTCGTTCGTTATGTTAAAGTTGTGTTCTTCTTTTAAAGTATCTAGAGGAAATTTATTAACTTCTGCAGTAAAGCCATGCTAATGGTAATTTTTTATTACTTCATTGTGTAAAACTTCGGTATACACAATGAAATAATTTCTTGTTGAAATTCATGCTAAACAGTAATACACCTCTGCATGTGCAGTTTGAAAGGTTTAGGCGTATTTTTCACCACTCTACTTATCGAGTATTGCTTGGTCACAAGGAGAGAAAGATCATGAGCACTTTGTTTGTCGAGGAGGTAGAATGTTTGTTCTTGTTTTTTTTTTTTTTTTCTGTGTTATCTTAAAAAACTGATGTTATGGAGTGCTGAACTTCAAATAGAACAAATACAAGCAGCGGGTTTGGATTCGTGGAAGTCGACCGGAGGAAGAAGAGATATTTCAATTTACAATGGTTCAGGTTTGGTCACGATTTCTTCCGATACATCGTATCATCGTACTCATGTTTGTGAGGGATTTAATACTGTTTGGTTCATTTTGTTTGCAAAAATTGTTTATTTTTGTTTGGAAGTACGTAGTTAGGCATTTTGTGAACTGTGGATTACTGCAACAGTATTTAACTTTGATGATTCTTTTCTTAATTCAATGATAGATATTTGAATTGTTGATTTCTTAAATTAATTATAGATTACCGGTTCCCTGTTGTTATCTGATTTAGTTTAATTTAGCGCAACCATGTATGCATCTGATGTTTGTTTGCTTGTCACTGGCAGAGGGTTGGTGGATGCTGGGATGGTTACTGGTTGACAGAATCTCTGCTTCACGACACTGATACATTTGCTGGTGGGTTAGCTTATTAAGAATCGTCTAATGCAGGAGGAATCAGGTTCACGAGATTACTGTCAAAAGCATGAAATGATCTGCAATCACCATCCTAATCTGTAAAATTTGGCCATGGTTAATCTGTAAAATTTGATTATTGGATGGTATGAATAGAATTTACAACACGGCACACCATGTACTTACAAAATATGTTCTTAGATATTAAAATTCTATACTTTGCATTTGCTTGCCCAAAGACGCAAACAACTGCGTCGTGAGGCGTAGTCTTTTTAATCGTGCTACAAGCAATTCAGAAACTAAATCTTCTGCTGTTTGGTTGTGTGAAGACGGGTCAAAGATGGTCCGATTAACCAACAAGAAACCAAACAAATGCAACTAACTAAAACGACACCATTCAAATTTATCACTCCTCTAAAATACAACCAAAATAGCATATTTCACTTTCTTGAATATGACATTTTGGTTTTAAATTTTAATTAAAATTTAAAATCATCATCTATCTAAAATTCAAATTAAGAAATGCTAAAGGCCAAAATATAATCAAGATTTTAAGATGACTTAAGCTAAGAAGGAAGTGCATGGAAAATATCTGAACACAAACAAAACAGCGATATTTCCATAAGATAGAAAAAGCCTTTGTAACAATTAAATTGTAAACGGTACAGACTAAAGTTGCAGTGAAGGCCATTCATTATTAAATTCTGCATTTTACATCAGTAGAACAAGGGTAAACAGGGATGACCTTAATTGCTGGAAGTGCAAAAAACCACGAGGGCCATTGTAGTTCCCTAAACCAAAGACATCAGTGACAAGAATCTTGGAAAATAGAGAGGAGTTTTGCGGATGTGGCAGTGCACAACCACTTCCAATTATTCGTATGCCAACCACACACATATTATATATAAATCAATTCTAACATATCCATATGGTGATGCAGGTAGTGGCCCAGATGAAGGTCACACTCGCTGGCACTTGGTAGTATCATAACAAAAAAATCCCAGTTGTGATTACTAATTTGTTGAATACTTGGAACTAATAAAATGACCTCAAAAGGGACTTGAGAAGGGCACAATCTCTACCTAAAGGGTGTAAGTATATAAAATTATGAGACGGGAGGAGAAAAGGCCATGCACATCGAGAAATATATGTATCATGAAAAGGCTAATCAGCAAGAACCAGAAGAAGTGAAAGAGAGATGGAGGGAAAGCCTTGAGGTTACTAAAATTACCAAAAAAGAAAAGGAACAGATGTTTGAACGACTTGGGAATGGAATTTTGAACCTGCAGTAGCTGGGCCCAGGGCAAAAAAGCACCCACGCTAGGAAGGAATGGACCCGTATTTACAATCACATCTATTTATATTTTTTTGTCAATGGTTTTAAGTTAAGGTAAAGGATCATAGTACTTCTAACGTAAGAAAGTATAAATATACTAAATGGAAATCAAAGTGTTTATTAGTTTAAACAAAAATCAAATTGTCAAGATACATAAAAAAAAATACACTTTGATCAAATCTGGATAGAAGGGTTCCCGCAATGTCAGAAATTCAATCACTCCTCAAAATAGAAGATGATGTTGCAAACAACAACTTAGGGCAATCAACTGATGTTGAGAGAAGACCATCATCGATTGCAAAGCATTCATAGACAGTGTTCATAAACTTGTGCGCGCCGAAGCTACTGAAATATAACATGCATCATTTTTCCTCATTCATAACTATTCTCTGTCTGTGTTGGAAGTCCCACATCGACTAGAGATAAGGCCAAATTATAATATATAAGTGAGGTGCAAACCTCACCCTACAAGCTGGTTTTGTGGGGTTGAGTTAGGCTTAAAAACCCACTTTCTAATATGGTATCGGGCCATTATCGGACCACCCAATTTCTACTATCACGCACGAGATGTCTATACCTCGGCGTGAAGGGGGTGTGTTGGAAGTCCCACATCGACTAGAGATAAGGCCAAATTATAATATATAAGTGAGGTGCAAACCTCACCCTGAGCTCAATTTTTATACATTTATAGTATACAGAGATGGACCAATAACATACCTTTTGTGTATTTGGTTTCTTGGGTATTTGGGTCTGCAAAATTGGGTTTCTTGAATCTTTTGTGCAGGCTACGTGATTTAGTGTTGATTTTGTTGATGAAAGTGAAACTATGTCTGGCATAACCGTGTTTGATGAAACCAAAATTTTGTTGATGTCGCTCCATGACCTTTTAACATGTCCATTTTGTCTGCCTGTTGCCAAAAGTGTAACCAAAGGGGCTCTGTATGATCCAAGTGAGTCCAAATTTGTAAACATCCATATTTCTTCGGACAACACCAACACCATCTTCTGCCTAATGAGAAGATCTTGATGCAACTTAAACTTTAGAAACATGATTTTTTTAAGTTTCAATAAGGAATTGAGAAGAATAAATGTTGGGGCATGAGCTTTTAACGAGATTTTTACAATCTGAGACAAGTTTCTGGTCCCCTTTGGATTTTAACGAGATATTTCTTTTAGAAAGATGGGAATAGGTGCAAGTCTTACTTAAGATTAAGCTTGTCAACGAACCAATGCCATTACATGTTTTAATACAGTTTTAGTGGGGTTGATCAATTTTATTTTTTTTAACAATTAGAAAGAGGAATATCCTTCATGATAGAGAAGGAAAGAGGGTGAGGGTGAGGCATGGTGTTGGAAGAAGAAGATGAAGAAGACACAGATACAAATTTGTTTTGCTATGGTGTGAGAAAGAGGAAGAAGAAGCCATTTAACATTTCATTTCATAAATGACCCAGATAAACCAAAACTAATAAAAAAAATAATAAAGTCACCACGCATACAACTTAAAAGTGTCACGTTACTTTTATATTCTGCCGGATCATCAATCTATTAACGCTGTTTATTTTTATTTAATGGAAGGGATAATGTTGACGCCAAATTTAATAAGTGAGGACCAATTTCAAACACTTTTAAAATGTGGGACTGAATTGACATTATTCAACAAAAGTAGGGACAAAATAGGGTATTAAACCTAAAAAAAGGAAAATAGAATAAAAAAACTAAAAACTCTCAAAACTAATAATGTGTTTTTTCTTAAGATTTATTGTGAACAACATGATAAGAGAAAATAATTAATTTTTATTTATATAATGTAGGCATTTTGAAGATCATTTTTAATTTACTCCAGCAACTTTTGTTTCCTCTCTAACAATTTAACTTTTTTTAGGCTTAATTAGCTTTTATCTCTAATAAACTTAGGAACTTTCAAATAAAATTTTATTATGTAGTGAATAATTCATAAAATTATATTTTTTAATTGAATAAATGTTATGTAAGTATTTTGTTAATTTAATGATGGTAATTACATATTTATTTTCATATGAAAATTTATAATCATATTATTTTAAAATTTTATAATTATAATTAACATACTTACTTATTTTAAATATAATATTTATTATATTTGAATATCCAATAAAAAAAAGTGAACAACATAATAATTATAAAAAAAAAACATTTAACCTATATTTATTTGGTATACTCGATTCGTCGTACTAATTATTTTTTACAATCCTAATTGTGATATTAAAACACTCACAAAATAAGCTAGAATGGAAGGATTAGTTTCTTTCTTGCATTATTTAATTTTATATACCATGCTGCTGCATTCAGTATGCCTATTTTTTGAACATGGATTCATAAATTGATGTTAAAGAAGCAAGATTCGACGTGAATGTGCAGATTTGAGTGGTAAAGCAATTTCTGTGACTCACTCTTAAACTTAGTGCTGTAACTGGAATAGATCTTATTGAAAAAGAGTGATCTTATTGAAAAAGTGGTGTAATTATTCTCTGTTATCGACCACTCATGCTTCCATTCAAACATACAATAGCTTTCAAAGACCAGCAAACACTTGAAGTGCATCGTCTTTGAGATTTGAATCATAGTAACTGATATACTTTCCATAATTGAACGGACGATAACGAAGAGGATGAAGTGTGTCATCTACCAATTCACGAGGCTCAACAATCCCCTCCTCCTTTGGTTCTGCAAAAACTCCAAACGAGTATCTCTCTCTCTCTCCACTCACCTCCACTCTATGCGTCGCTGCATGAAGCCTATCATTGCTCCATGCCTATTCATTCAGTAACATATACTTATAATTATTACATAAGAAGAATTCAGTTCATTATGATAATTATCAAACAATATAATTTTCTCTTTACCTTCAGTACATCACCAACCAAAACCACAAAGCCATGTTGGGGTATCGTTATTTCAGTCCATTTGCCTGTTTTGGATAACAGCTGCAAACCTTGGACTCCATTGTCGCACAAAAAGGTCAAGCTGTTTTTGTCGGTGTGAAGGAACCTCGAAACCTGATCATAGTCATTGTTGTTTGCAGAAGCTTTGTACTTGTTGAAACGTATATTATTAGAACTCTTGATGCTTTCAACATCTGAAATGTAATTCTGAGAAACACCGTAACCCTCCATAATCATTTTCAAGACGATCAAGCTTATTTCTGACATCTTTAAGCTCATACACTCCAATGCCTCACTGCATCACCAAAGAAAATATTGAAAAAATCATGCATTGAATGCAATTAAAGTAATGAAATAAGAAAGTACCGTAAAGGTGGATTTCCTTGAGGCCACATGAGGTTGGTGAAGTTCTCAATCTTAGCAGCATCGATCCCAAAACTTTCATAGTTAAGATTCTCGAAGTTCTTGCGTTTGTAAGTATTGAAAGGCTTTGGACTGATGTGCTGCCGCTTTGTTTCTTCAGGTAAATCAAACAATGGTTTCATACTTTGAAATATGACTTCACGTGCACCCTTATTACTCATCTCTTCATACTTCATGATGAAGCAGCCATAACTCTCACATGCTTCTCTCACTTTCATGCTCATCTCTTTCCACTCTTCACTCCCTTCTTCTAGTGTCACCCCTCCCTTGCAAAAATCAAAACATGGTAGCACAATAACCTCATTCTCAGATGCCATTTCCCTCTCTCTCTTTCTCCTTCTTGCTGTCTATTTCTCTCTGTTATGTAGGATCTAGATGGTGATAGAGTTAATATATATATGAATTTTTGTTCATCCCTGCTTAACACCAACTGCATATGGCACGCTTCTCCAGATGAATACAGAAGATCGGCCAGTAATATAACATGCAACATAACTTAACGAAACAAATTCAATCAAAACTTTATCACTATTAATTAATA